TAAAAATCACGACTTACTTTTAACAATCTTGGCCTTGTCTCCTATGCACTTTGTTTTACTCATCTGCACAATGGACATATTGTAATATTTCTTATTTGTTTTATTATAATGCTATATAGCCCCACTTGTAGCCCAGGAGTCCACTGTACTAGCTGCTATACACAGAACAAAAAGATGTTCCCTTCTGCAAAGCACTTACAGTCTTGCTTCTTCATGGGGATAGTGTGAGGGTCACTTAAGTGCTGTTTGTAAATTGCAATGAGATCCTGGGATGAAAAACACCAAATACCTCAGTACTGTTACCAATAAGCAACTTTGTTCAAATATCAAAATATGCATTTACGAAAGAAAGAACTCTATTAATATTTCCTGTTTCACTTGGCTTCTAAATCGGCCTCTAAAAAGATCAAAACTCCAACAGCGGCTGCAAGACATCCTCAGAGTGCCTACAGAACAATGGCTCCGCATTGCTAATTAATGCTAGCTGTTATTATAAACAATGCATGTTAATAGTGTAAATGTAAACAACACTTTATCTAAAAGTCAACGTTGCACAGACAGTGCTTGTCACATCTCAATAGGATACCCATCGAGGGCAAAGCCCTCTTGGCATTTTTGGGAATTATCATTCACCCACTCAGTGTGGGGAATGTGATTCAGTTTAAGTCATTTCTCCCCAACAAACTGAAAGGGCCCTTCCAGATGTTTGGTAACACATCAGCACAACTTAGCACAATGTAATGAAATTCCCCCAATCTAGGTCAGACATTACCTAATTGATAAGGTGGTCGCTATGGGCCTCAGCAGCGCCGCTTCCAATATGTGTGACACACAATCAGTCTCTGTTCCCTGTTGCTATGACATCATTCTGACAGACCCCTCCCGTGCATCACGCTGGCTGCAAACTTCCTTTCCATCAGAGATAAACACGACTGGAGTCAAACTCTCTCATTAATAAAAAAATACAACTCTCAGCAGCCTCCACCCTTTAGCCGATATTTCCTGCCCATATTATTTGTCCGAATTCCTGAACAATTCCTCCCTCTAGGCCTTTCTAATATTGCATCAAGAGCAGCTGCAGTCTGTCGGGGCCTGCGGGAGCTTAGACTTGTGGCACCAGACTTTCAGTGTCAATACAGTCATACATGAGGCATTGAAGGGTTCCCCTGATCTTGCTCTTTGTTTGTTTGTTTGTTTGTTAGTGGCTGCATTCGAACAGTGAAAATAAGGTAATCTGTTCCTTGCTTATAACATAGTTATAATTTCAATTGAGGGAGCCTTGGGAATAATAGGAAAAAGAGAGATAGAAAACCAAAGAAGTCCAAGTTACCAGCAGCTGAGGATGAATTGTATATTGATGGCACCAGCACAGCATTGTTGTACAGGCACATTGAGGGTACAGGGACATGAAGAGAGACCCTCTCTCAAAGCACAGGCTTAACCCTCACTGAGCATGCTCAGAAGAAGTACTGTTTCCTGAAAGGACATCCAGGCAAGCACAAGATAATTTGTTCCTGATTCTTATCTCTCTTATACTAGTGTTAATCCAAAGCAACCTCACTGGAATCAGTAGAGTTACACTAGTGTCAAATGAGATCGGAATTGTCCCCTGGACAGAGATCTCAGTTACGTGGTAGAAGTCTGCTGTAATTTTGATTTATAATTATATAACCAATGTCTGAATCTGGGCTTTCATTTCACATTCAATTCAGTTAGACAAATAGTGGTACAAGTTGCATATGGGCATAAATGGGCACAAATTGGGTATAGCAAGAAAAGCACAAACCCGCATTACATCTTCCCATTAGTTGGGTTCCCGTCTATATCCCCAACTGACTTCTGTCCCCCATGTAACTTACACCGATTTAAATCGCCTCAGAAGCCCATTCATTGTTGAGATACTGGCATCATGGAGAGGGTAGGTGCAAATCCCTCACTTTAGTCTGAATCCACAATGCTCTTTATTCCCACAAAGCAATGGAGATTCAAGTCAGTGACCTGCATACGCTGTGCATAGGAATACGGGAAATGCTATGTTTCTGAGCCTAAAAAAAACCCATCAGCTAACAGAGGTTAATGTAGAATTTATAATTATGCTTATTCATGTGGAGCCTTACACAGAAGTTTGTGATGTTCAATTAATTGCTCTGTCAGCTGAACATTTTGAAGCCCACCATTTTGCACCTTTTTGTCTCCACGATCTGGTTGCTGGAATGGTCCAGTTCTTTTGTTCACTGGAATAGGGTAGGATGAGGGTTGGGGATGCTGATAATGTTTACAGGACAGGCATTTCATTATTTTATTGAGTCATTTTAATGAAAGAAAAACTGGGTCAGCAGTTTGTAGTTCATGTACAGTGAATGGTGTCTGTTTTCATGAAACAGGACCTCATCTACCGATCCCACCCAGGGCAGCACTGCAAAAGGAAATAGTCTGGCTCTTACATGATTACAAGGCTCCCTAAAATGGAAGTGCTCGGAGGGAAGGCTCCATGTATGCTTACACTTTAAATCACTTGACATTGCTTTCTTCCATCGCAGGAACACAGGAAAGAAGAAATACAAACAAAATTTGATTTTCATATCTTACTCACTTGAAGGGAACATGGCAACAATTCCACAGAGGATAAACATCCCCCTGCCTAATCTTCCCACTCCTTAGGACAGTTTGTTGAAATTAGTGAAAGGATGCAGACGTTGCACAGACAGCTTGATAAGAGTTATAAGCACTAGTTTGTTATTATTAAAGAGAGGGAGCATAACTTTGCTGTCTCCAATGATTTTAAAAACACAACATTCCCTCTTATAGCTATCTCTCTACCTACTATATTTACATTATATGTGTGCGTGGAGGGGGGGGGGTATATGTCTATATGGTGAATAAATGCCATTCTACTTCATGATGTTTTGTCTGTTGTCTACACTGAAGAATGCAACAATGTAAAACACAAGATCAAAATTACAATACTTTATGCATATCACCTTAGCCCGATACACAAATAATACAGCTTTCTGATGAGTAGGTTAGTGTGGTTTAATATTGATGTTGCTCAAATACCAATAAAGAAAAAGACACCGAATATAAAAGTTTATTTAGCAGTACTAAAGATTCAAACACAGCTTTACCATATGGATGGTTTAGTCTTGGTTTTGTTCAGGTAAAGTAATTGCAGGCATCAAATATAAAATGAATGATGTTTATTTAACAATTGAATTAAGGTACTAGCTTAAAAGAACAAACTATAAGATACTCCTTAAATATTATGAATAGTGACTGCCAAGCTTTGGCTAGAGAAATTCAGTATATATTGGAAGTGTTGCATTCCAGTGGGGGTTGCATGCATGTAATTGACTGGATGATCAAGATTCTGGGGCCAAATTCAGTGCGTGATGTAAGTGAAGGTGTAAATTTTACATGCACTGTCAGTGTATGATCTTCGGAGAAAAGAACTGTCTTTTGTTCTGTGTTTGTACAGAACCTAATGTAGCGGGATCCTAGCTCAGGACAAGGACTTCTAAATCCTATGGTAATACAAATAATAAATGACCACAATAATAGTACACATCAGGTAGAAAAAAGTGTAAGTGGTGATGCCATTTGACTTGCAATGATTTGGAGTTTGTACACCAACCAAAGTGAGTAAAAGTGACAGGCTGAGAGGATGGCAAGACGTTAGGTGGAAAAGCAACTAACAAGAGGGTGTAAGATAAAAGCAGATTCTCCCTTACCTGGTCTGATCCCCTCCTGACAGTTGCCTTTCTGCTACATTCTCTTTTCCACCCATTGGAATATCAATTGCACTTATTTTGCCACATCCACTGAATGTGGTATTCATTCAAATTATACTACTCTACCACTAAAACTTGTTCTCTGACCAACCTACATGACATGGAACTTGCACAACCATTACCACAGATACTGAATCTGTCCCGATTTGTTAAAATGTCTTAGGCTCAGGGTGTGTCTACATGGCAGCGAAAGCCCAGGTTAGGTAGAACTCAAGTTAGCAGACCCTGGATTTGTTAACCGAGGCCATGAGTGTCTATACTCATTGGCTACCGTAGGTTAGGAATATTGGAGTTATCAGCCTGGGGCACTAATGTCTACATTGCATTATGTGCCACAGAGTTCAACTCATATCCTAGACTTCCTAGTGCCCTCCCAAAATGTGGCCATGCTAGCCCTTGTTTTCGGTGCAGCGTGGGAGAATGCCTGTCAACCAAACCTGATTGTTCAGAGAACAATGAAAATCAGTCCATTGGCTTGTGACACTTTTGACAGATTTTCAGAACAGGAACATAGCAATGGGGCTATGTCTACACTGCAGCGCAACAGGGTTTGAACGCTGGGTTTTGACTCAGAGGTAGACCCTCCACCCCTCTAAAATCCTGAGACCCTGATCTGAGCCCTAGGATAGTACAATTTGGGTAGAGCCAGAAGAAGGATTAAATCTGACAGAGTTTGAACTCTGGATTTAAAAAAACTAAAACAAATTAACAGTAGCAAGTCTCAGAACCCAGGCCAAATGATTTGGGTTTGTAAGCTCTGTCCCCTGTAAACTGAGTGCTTGAGTGGCCACTCAGGAGAAAATCAGATCCCACCCAGCTGATTAGCAGAGTACCCACATGGCACTCCATGAATCTGATTAAGTGGTTCTGACCCATGAAAGCTTATGCCGAAATACATATTAGTCTTTAAGGTGCCACAGGATCCTCATTGTTTTATGGAATTTGGAGTTCTGATTGAATTTATACAGACACTTACATTTATGAAAGGCTGAAAAAGCATCATTAATGTGCTATATATAGCTATGTAATAGTTACTATATTTTTAAATGTCTATGACTCTTCTAGAAAAAAACTACCATTTTGAATCCCCGTTCCATTGCATAATGTTGAAGAGTGAGACAATACAATCTTTCTGTCATGGAGACTTTGGGCTTGTTTCCTATAGTCACAATAATTTTATGTCACTATGACCACACTGAAACTAATGTAACATCATGGAGAAAAAGGGTCTCTTCATTTATTGTTGATTTTCTTTAATATGAAATAAAAATAATCTAGGCTGAAAATACAAATTTGGTTCTGCCTGTATGAACACACAGAATAAGTAAGGTCACCCAAACAATCTTAATTTTGTATAAGGAACATTGGGTTACCTTGTTATCCAGCAACAAATTTCAGATCTACATTTGAATCTGAAATATTCAAATCCTTAGGGTGTGTAAATCAAGGATTCTAGCTTGGGCCTCTCTATAATTCATAGTTCTTTGATATAGTATAAAGTATTGGTTCCACACAAGTGAACATTGTTGACTTACATCTATGTTCAATTATTTTATTTTGCAATCTTCTGATGAAGTCAATCATTCTTCAGTATAAAGAGAAGAGTAATTCACAATAACCTTTTTATTACATACCATGCTATGACAGCCACATTTGTAATCTTGATGTAATACTTAAAATAATCAAAATAGTTATGCAGAAAAATTGATTGGTTGATGAAATACCTTTATCACAGTCCACTTCCTGGTCTAACATTATCAAGTTTTGTGGGCTTTGAAGGTACAAGTTTATAATTAAATATCTGACACCAAATAAATAAATAAGAATCCTTCCCCACATTCCATCTTTTTACGAAAATCAGACTTGGAAAAGCAAGCTTTAAAGAACACTGACCTGATGAATCTTGCATAATTAGCGCACACTCACATGAAAATGCTTTCTAGTTCTGCAAATAATAGTCGATTTCCCTGGAGGTTCCCTTTGCACCTTTTCATTACATTGTCTTAGACAGTTAATAGCTTTTGGAGGGTATGGCTATTGTACAAAGATACAAATACATACAAACATTTTTTATGGTGTATGGTTATAACCGGTGAACATGGTTTCAGGAAGATGATATTTCAAGAGATTAATAATGACAGCAGGGGACATAATAAAAAAAGAGAGTCCTTGTAACTACAGAACAGACTTATGAACCTACATTTTAAAAAAAGTGACTAGTGATTCTGGATGCTCAAAACCTCTGAAAAGTCATACCCCTTTACCAGGTCTTCAGTTAGGCACCCAAAATTACTAGTCACTCTTTCAAAATATAAGCCATGGGGTCCAGTTATGGTAATGGATCTTCTTGTGGATCATTCATGTAAGGATCTTTCTGTACAATACTGGAGGATGGGTTGGAGTCACCCCCCATTGGCTCTGCAATGGATGGAAGTCTGCAGAGTTCAAGAAGGAAGAAAGGTTGGGTTATGCAGGATGCTGCTCTCCAAGGTATCATCGCCTCCAGACATTATACTGCTCAGTGTTTTTTTCTTATTGATGTGTCCATTGATCCCCATCCACGTCAGATCCTGATGCAAACATTCACTTATCAGTAGAATAATATTTAATAGCAATCACTAATGTATTTTAAAAGCATATTCCTAAAAAAACCCTCCCTCTCCTTTTTAAGTGTTAAAGTTGTCATGACTACGAAGATATTCTCTTTCACAGTTGCAAAACACAAACACCAAAGTTGCCACAAATCTCCCTCAATTCACACTGTTTCAGTTCTACATGAACATCCCTCTTGTCTTCAACTGATGTAAGTTTCCTGAAATGCAAGGATGACCAAGAGATGAAACAGTCATTTTCCATATAATGGAAGGTAAGATTCTGATCTGAGGAGCATCAACATTGATAAGGAGTAACTCCATTCTGGAGAGCAGAACCATGGCCCAATGTATATCGCTAGCTGGGCAAAAAAGGAAAGGCGCTTTATGTAACAGCCAAAGGAAAGATAGGCAAACAGCTGCTTGGAAAGAAATAGCTGAACTTTCTCACCCACTTCCAATCCTTTATCCAACATTAAAAACATTGTTTAGGAAGAGCAGATATGCTTGTCAAAATTTTGTGACTTGGACTAAGGCAGTGGCAAGGACTCCATTTTGAGAAGGGGGGCTGCAGCTGTGTGTATGTGGACACAGCTTGCTCTTTTCCTCATTCCCCTGGCTGTCAGGGAGTGAAGGGAAAGTACACATCTTGCGTGCATTCCTCTTACTCCCAGTTGGTCAGGGAAGGGAGAAGAGGAGTAAGTCATGCAATCCGTGTTCTTTCCCCTCACGCCGTGATAGTCAAGAAAACGTGAAGAAGAGCAAGCAGCATCCTGGTACGCATGGCCAGAATGACATCTTTGGCCAGTGGCATGGGACTTGACTTGATTAGGAGAACTAATTGGATGTAAGTGGAAGTACAGCAAGAGAAGAATGGAAAAAGCTTCCAAAAAACCAAATGCCAGCTTCCATGATGAATACGGCTGCTTCCCTTGTTATTTTCTGCTTTTCTGTGTTACTAGGTACAACCCAGCAAAAATCATATAAAAATGGAGCTCCCATCACTCTCATGGTACATGGCTTGTAAATCTTTTAGAACAACAGAGACGAATGGGAAAATGAGGGATATATTGAAACATCAAAGACATACAGTTACTTTAGAGAGATAATTACTCCCTATGTTCACACACTACAGTAGCAAAAAAACCAAAACCAAACAAACATCATTCTGGGATATATTAGCAGGTGTGCTGAAAGCAAGACACAAGAAGTAATTCTTCCACTTAACTAAGCACTGGAAGGCTTCAGGTGGATTACTGTGTCCAGTTCTGGGCACCATACTACAGAAAAGGTGTGGAAAAACTCAAGAGAGCAATAAAAATTATTAAAGGTCTAGAAAAGATGGCCTATGAAGAAAGATTGAAAATATTAGGTTTGTTTAGTCTGCAGAAGAGACAACAGAGGGTACATGAAAAAAGTCTTCTAGTATATAAAAGATTATAATAAAGAGGAGACAATTAAATTGTTCTGCTTAGCCACTGAGAACAGGACGAGAAGCAATGGGCTTAAATTGCAAAAGAGAGATTTAGGTTAGACATCAGGAAATCTTCCTAATTGTCAGGGTAATTAAGCACTGGAACAAATTACCTAGGGATGTTGTGGAATCTCTATCTCTGGAGGTTTTTAAGAACAGGTTAGACAAACACTGGTCAGGGAGATAATACTTAGTCCTGCCTCAGTGCTTACTGAGGGCCCTTGCAGTCCTACTTTTCTCTGACTCCGTGATAGAAAAAAAATCACATCAATTCCATCTGAGTTCTATAATCACAGTAACTTATCCTGTCACTCCAGCATTCAGAAGGCTGCTGTACATTAGTAAGTCTGCATTCTGTTGTTCAATGTATAGAGGTTTAGAAACAGAAGGCCACATCCTATGAACAGCCATAATTTTTACCAAGAAGAATCACTTGTCGACTGAGATCGAGGGTCCCCATTCAAGATGGCCACTTCATCTTGAAAGATTCCTTACAACATTTTGGCTCCTTAGAGTTAACAATGTGCGCTACTGTGTATTTAGCTGTGACATTCTGCGTGACTTTCCAGACCAGAAAAAAGAGCTCTGTGTAGCTCAATAGCCTGACTCTATCACCAACAGATAGGGGCCCAATTAAATATATTACCTCACCCACCAGGTCTCTCTCAGGGTACGTCTAGACTGCATCCCTCTGTCGGCAAAGGGATGCAGATAGGCAGGGCGACATTGCAAATGAGTCAGGGATTTAAATATCCCGTGCCTAATTTGCATAAAATGGCCGCTGTGTTTTGTCGACTCAGCACATTGTCTGCAAAAAGCGGCAGTCTAGAGGGGGATCTGTCGAGAAAGAAAGGCTTTTTCCACAGATCCCTTATGCCTTCTGCAAGGAGGTTTACAGGATCTGTCAAAAAAGGCTTTCTTTCTCGACAGATCCTCCTCTAGACTGCCCCTTTTTGCCGACAAAGTCCTGAGTTGGAAAAACGTAGTGGCCATTTTTATGCAAATTAGGCATGGATATTTAAATCCCTGCCTCATTTGCAATGTCGACCTGCCTAATCTGCATCCCTCTTCCGACAGAGGGATGCAGTCTAGACATACCCTCATAGTACTAACATGATGGCTCATAGAGTTTGCAGGATCAAACCCTTCCTCTTCTGCTTTTTCGTCCCAAGAGCATACTCTCCACTTGCTCTCTAGTCCCAGTACAGAGAAAAATTAAATCTAAAGTGAGGATTTCAATTTGTGTCAGTAAGGTGGCTATCCATCAACAAAATGATTTTTGTTACACTAGCTTAATTTTCCCCACGTTGTTATAATTTCCAAAAATAATTCAAACAGGTTAATAGATAAGCTTTTATAAATTAAAATCATACCTCCTAGTGTGAAGTAATTTAGGATCAACATGTCTTCTTTTTCTCACTACTTCATTCTGATTTTCCATTCTCCTATTTATTTTCCCTCATTTTTCCACCATAATTTATTCCTCCTTTTTCATAAATTCTGTAAATGCATGACTTATATTAGTGTGTTTTTTAAAACGGAATATTGAGTTATACAATCCATATTATATTAATGTTTATCATTTAAGATAAAATCACATAGAAATAAATATATTTAATTAAAATACTCTAATTTACATCAATACCAAAGGAAATTAGACACGGTATAAGTCAAATTAATACCAACCATATTGATAATCTCAGTTTTTCAAAGGTAGTGCATTGAACTTTTAAAGAGCTATGTTACACCTATTATGTCCAAAGGTAGCTAACCATACATGTCTATATTTAAATTCCATTTATTTATAAATGTATTCTACATATTGACATAAGAATTTTAATTCCTATACACAATTCCATATGACATTTATAAAGAGATCTACATTTGCCACAGTTAACCCATTGTGATTCTTCTTTGAAATACAGCCTTAGTAATAAAAATGGTAAAAAAGGGGAGACATTTCATATAAATGTTAATGTAACTTTCCCATTTTTTTAAATATCACAAATCAAATTTGACAATTTTTAAAACATTGAAATTTTTAAGTCTCTACAGAAATATAACAAAAAAAAATAAAATTTGTTTAAGTTGCTCCTGGATTTTCCCCTATCAAAATGAGAATTTTTGATGAAAATTTTCACACAGAATTTTGAAACTGAAAAAAAGTTGCCAGCCTTACTTTCCATTTAATCTGTGGAGATTAACCAAAGTCTGGTACACTGAAAGTGATGGGTAGTTTGAATACACATTACCAAATGGAGATATTCATAGAGTCAAAAATGACATTTGTGTTTGTATAGGAGCACTACCTATTTTCATGCTATATTTCCTATGTCCTTAACAAGTGTTAGTTTGTACATCTTATTGATCAGTTCCATTGGAAACTCGCTACACCAAACAGCTACCGCTCCTTCGGGAACAAGCTACCTCCCCAGACCTCAGTGACATCCAGGATCTCTGTACCAGACTAGGAAGGGGCCCTCTTCTTCTGCCCCTGGCCAGGGGCTTCAGAGCTGGCTGCCAGTTTGCTTGCTGCCCTGGGGGGCTTGGTGGGAGCATTGGGGTCACTCCTGGCTGCACTGAAGGGTGTTGCTCTGTGGCACAGGACTGGCAGGGCCGTTGCGGTGCAACAAGCACTGTCCCTTCTGTCTGCATCTTTAAAGACTTCAGGGGAAGGGAAAGCATAGAGTTTTGAGGGATGTGGACAGAGTGGCCATGAGAGTAGCTGTCAGCCTTAGAGGCCAATTATTTCAGAAGGAGAACAGCTGCACCTTCTATACTCACCCTATTCCTCGTGAAATGAGGCGGTACAATTTCAGAATAAGAAGCCTGTTATTTTGAAATAATTCTGAAATAACGGGCTTGCTGTGTGGATGCCCACCTTGTTATTTCGAAATAACGCTGTAGTGTAGACATACCCTAAGAGATTAATAGTAGAATAATGTGTTAAATGCCAAGCTCCGCTATAATGACTATATGTTGATGCTGCTCATATTGTTGAAAAGACATGTTCTAAAAATGAATGTGAAACAAGGGAAGAGGAAACATGATCATGAACGAGTGCACAAACTAGCTTTGATATACATGGTTTCTAAAAGCTGCTGTGGGAACTGCTGAGCCAGAAGTCTAAAAGGATTTTGTATTCAAATCCATGCTGGGGCACAGAGATCATTCTGAACTCGATGACATTTACCTGACATCTGATGCTTTCAAAGTGTTCTTTTAGGCCTAAGATGAGTCAGAAGAAAAACAGAAATGGAAAAAGTCAGCTTCTTATCACAAAAAAAAGATTGTGCAAACATTATCAGTGTTGCTTTCCAAAAGTTCCTATCTTCTGCAAAGGATCTGCCCCTACACTTAACTCAAGAGGT